GGGGAGAGAAACAAAAATAAATACTCCAGATTTGGATTAGTTTTGTTTGCTGCACCCCACCTGCCTCCAATCATTGACCCCATTCCACATCCCCTGTGAATGCTGCCACTCCTGAGGGCTGTCCTGGTCTCAGACCTGCCAGGGCTACATGCTAGGAAATCCAGAAAGGACGCAAGAGCTCCCGTGAAATGCTACCAGGATCATTCAGACCTGTTATGACTTCTTTCCAGCAGGAGACAGGCAGGCTGTCTGTCCAAGGAGAAGACAGCAAGCCTTTCAGAGCATGCTGGAGTTGGCACAGATGATCTTGACTCTCTGTTCATATGCAAAGTCATCACAGTGACTTGACAACATGGATAACAGCACTCAGAGCAGGCAGGCTGGGAACACACGGGCAAGGCTTCCAAGTGCTCAAGGTGGGGCAGGGAGAGGAAAACATTAACCTAAAGGAGCGTGGGGTGGGGAAGCACAAAGGGTAGAGACAGTCTCAGAGCCGCAGAGGCTCCCCGCTATCCCAGGATAAAGGCTAATGCAACTCAACAGCACAGAAATGCTTGTGGGGCCAAGGAGAGCACAGCTCGGAGTCTCAGGGAAGTGCTTGTTGCCAGCACATGTTCACCACCCTCCTTTCCTCTGTGTCTTTCTGCAGCTACTCATGGGGAAGTGACACAGATCCAGGGTGCACTTTAACCTGCACTGTGCCATCAGCACCATCACTGGAGAACTCATCATCCTGCTGCTCCCATGCCAGGTCACAACTGGCCCCAAATTTGCCTTCTGCTCTATATCTGTCATTGGCAGCGGTGCCAGCCCAGCCCCGTTGGGTTGTGCTCTTGTCCAGGGAAAGCAAGGCAAGATGCCAGGGCAGGGCAAGGAAGGACATTCACAGGGCAGCAGCGGGACCAGACCCCTCTGCCCTTTCTAACAAACAAGAATCATCTCACAGCTCAGTCAAATCATCGATTGCATCAGTGCTGGAGCCAGCTGCCCATCACGGGCACTACTTGGCAGCTTCAGGAAAAATCCCAGAGCAAGGGATTGAAATTCACGTTCCAAGAAAGCAGCTCCGGCCCCAGATCCCCTCCAGGCCCATGCCAAGATCCTCAGGATCCTGCCTTACTTAGGGCCAGCTCCAAACAGCCCCACCACCCCCAATACTGCTCTGGGAAATCATTTGACAACATACAAGTGTCACTTACACACGCAGAGCTTTAACAGCCTCCATGACACAAGCTGTATTGTATTCTCATGAGCTGGGATGATCCTAACGCTTTGGAGCAACCCACTGAAGCAGACAAGTGAGCAGGGAGCAAAAAAGACATAGCCACAAGCTACAGCAGAGAGAGATTTTGGTTGCGCATGGCTCTGATGTATGACCTGGGGCCAGCAGAGGACAGCTGAGCCCTTCCAGGAGTTTGTTTAAATGGCTTGCTTAGGTAGCAAACACTATGGGGGGACAGAGATGCTTAAAACATGTCTTTCTGGGAATCACCACCCTGTTCAACTTTGCCTGGCAACATCAATGCACTTGGGGAAGCAGGAGGGCAGGAGAGGCAGTGGCAGAACAAGGCTAGACCCCATTTTCCCCATTCCCTGGCTCCTCTGCCTCTCGCTGCCTGTAAGCAGGGAGGGGATGGAAGGGAGGTCACTGATGTCTTTCTTCTCAGGCCCATGATGCTGTCGCTTCTCTAACTCATAGCTATCAGCAGAGGCAGCTGTTGGGCAACCAGCTTTCAACAGTCTTCCCTAGTAGAGCTGCCTGTGAAACCCAGCACCTCTGACCCTCTCGCTGTGCCAAGGCCAACAGTGTGGCTAGCAGCGCCCAGGCTCCGCTTGCTGCGGTGAACAGTCCCTGCAGGAGCATGCTCAGTCCCACTGCAGGCAGCCGGTGAATGCAGAAGGCTTTGAAGGACAGAGCCAAGGTTTCCACTGCAAGTGGGTCCTGCACAGCAGCTGCCCCAAGAAAGCTTTGACAGTGGGCTCCAAATCCTGTTTGCCCAGCCTAGCAGGGGAGAGCAGACACTTCCTTTGCAGACATGTCCCATGCTCTGCTCGTACAGCTGGCTCTTCGGAGTAAAACTATCAGAAACATCACTGTGGGGATCACTCAGACCCAGCTCAAACATCTGCTCAGCTAGTTGCCAGCACTCGGGATCGCACAAGGCCTCGGAGACCTGGGCTAGTCTCCTTTCTCCATACAGAGCATGAGGAAAGGCCAAACTCACCCACCAGCAGCCTCCACCCCTCTCCAGCTTTTGGTGATATTTTGGCACACATCATGTAACCAATCGTAAATTAATCCCATTAGTGCCCGAGGAGGCACAGACATGCTTCCCCTCTCCATGGGGCTGACAGGAGTTAAACGCTTATTCTTCTCCCTTGAGTGAGCAACACAGCTGGAAGCAGGAAGCAGCATCTGCAAAGCAACAGGGTGGCTGCAAGAAGCCGTCGGAGGAGGGAGACACTGCTTTGGGGTGCAGGGCAGGCAGCAGCAAAAGAAAAGGAAACAGCTCCCAAAGCATCCCGGCCTCGGCAGCCACGCAAGGGAGGAAAATCTTTCATACTTCTGCATCGCCTACGCAGGGGAACAACTATTTTTCAAACTAACCTTGGATGTACAAGGATAAAACACAGGCATACACTTCCCTCACAGCAACTTGGCCTGAAAATTCAGCAAGGTGCACACAAAGTGGAAGATTTGACTCAAAAGCCCTCTGTCCCCACAACTCCAACAGGCTGAACATCCTGAAGCAACCTTTCTTGCCCATCTCCTCTTCTTCAGCTGCAAACCTGCTAGTGTGTTTTAAGAACGAAATAGCAAACCCAACCCAGCACTGCTCCTGGAGACCTGGCTCTGCCCCCTTCTTTCCCGAGGGATTTGCCTCTTCAGGGCAATGAAAGGCACGGTACCAGGTACGCTCACAGACTACACAAAATATGCAACAGCTGATGGTGGCTGAAGGACAGGCGTCTCATTTCTAGTTTGAAACCAATTAGCAAAAGACATTTAATTTCACTGACGGTTACTCAATTGACTGCATGGCTCTGCAACGCAGCTATCATTTAAGGCAGATGACTGTGGGTAGCTTGAGTGCTCACAGATGACAAGTAATACAGCAGGTCTGAAGAGAAACACTAGCCCCATACACAAGCTGCCGTCCTCACACAGCAGAATATGCATTTAGTCTAGTTCCAACTCATCGTCCCTGTGAGTACAGAGCCATGACTTTCAGAAGGGACCCATCCGGGTAATTTAAGAAAATGTAATCAGCTCTAGGGAGGTATCAGCTAAGTCTCCTGTTTATACCATCATTTAAAAATAGCCAAACCGTATGGAATACAAGCTTGCGCTTCTGATCCGGAATCGTCCAGAGCCATGGCTTAGGCCCCACAGAACTGCAGCTTCTGCCCGTGCACAGAGAGCTGAGGAAACCCAGCAGCCATTTTCACAGGTGCACAGACATGACTAGTGTCCTGCCATTCGAATGGGGAAAGGGGTGAAAGTATTAACATTAAGCAAAAAAATAATAATGCTGAAGGAAAGAAACTGCCAGAAAGTAGACAACTGAGGAGACATCCAAGCTCGTGAGCAACTATTGCCAACAGGAGAGCAAAAAACGCAATCCTGTAAAGCAGTCAGCAATCACCTGCTGTACACCAGCTGCCCTGGGAACCCCCTCACACACCCCGAAGGTGATTTGCCAGTGAGATGCATGGTACTCAGCAGTACTGCTGAATCCAGAAGTCAATGCAGAGATGGGCAGATCAGCAGCAGCCACCTCAAAACAAAAAGAAGAGGTCCCTGTCACCAGGATTAGCTCACGTGGCACTTAATTCCAGCAGAATTTGGCTGCCTGGGGAGATCAGGACTGTGGAGCAGAGGGGACAATGACTGGGTGGTCTCCAGCTGCTTCATAGAGGTATAGGGCAAGCCAAGACCTCCAACACAAGTGGCGTCATCTACTCTGTGCACTTTCTGCTTGGCAAGGGCACTTCAGAGCAAGGGAAGAGACAGCTTGGGAGCCTCTGTATAGAAGATATCCACAGGTACCTGTGAGTAGCAGCAGCTCTGTAATCTGCCAGTTAGCTGCGGCCCCAAGAACCTACCCAAACAGGCAGCAGAGCTCGTGGGAGTGTAGCTCAAATAACCCACACGCCCCATACATAGCTAGTGAAATTCAGGTTACAAATAAGCTCTGAACACAAACAGCCATACTACATGCCCTGGGGGACACGTTTGCATTCCCAAGACAAGTTATTCCTGCCTTGTACCAATCAGCATCAAAAGCATCAATACTGTCTGTCTCTGATTTGTACGGCTGTGAATCTGGACTTCCTCGAGCAGCCAAGCTTTCTCCTAGGAGCCTAGAAATCATCTGCTGCAAACTCATACAGTTGTTTCTAATGCAACAGCCAGGGCTGAGCCAGGGCCACTTCTGCTGTGGCCAGACCAACGTTGCCTTACTGGCTGCAACAGTGCCTGCAACGGCTCTCAGCATGGCTGGGACGGCTGACCTACCACATACTCCAAGCCCTGCATTTTTCAGTTAAGAGTCCCTATTGGCCACCAGCCTCAAGTTACTACTTAACGCTCCACTTTGTGAACATATTTCAGTTACAACAAAATGAAAAAAAAAAAATCTCTAAATAGAAAGTTATGAACTTCCAGGACCAGCCTTATAAAGAGTCCCTGGGTCACCAGGAGAAGCACGGGGCACGTTCTCAACATACATGTGGCACTGGAACAGCCCAGCTGATGTCAACGAAGCCCAGACAAACCAAGGCTGCTTTAATTAGCCCTGAAAGGTCACCACATAGCACTCCTCTCATGGCTGTTTACTTGACAGAGGCAACACTCATCTCCCCACCCAGAGCTGTCAGGGCAGACGCTGCTGCAAGTTACTATTATTCTAGCCTCTGCAGTAAGTCTCTACATGAGATTAAATAGCACTAAGACTACCACCGCCAGCACGGCTCCAGCTCTGGCTATGCACAGGGTCCCACCCAGCAGGATTCAGCTTGTCAGACCAACCCCACAGGGACAGAAACAACGTGTGCTGCCTCGCAGTGTGCAGGGCTGCAGGTGAGACAGTCCATGGGCCAGCTGACAAGTTGCCTCCCTTCCACCAACAGCAACCCAGGGTCCTTCTCTGGGTGTTTGGTTTATCCACTGAAGCTGCATCCTACAAGGTGTGTACCTACGTAATGCTCCAGCACAGACAGGAAGAAAAAAGCACCATCCCATACCATGGAATGAAAGAGATCTCTGAACAGCGCAGGAGGGGATGACTGCTGGCTTTCTAATGGCAACTGCTCAATTAATTTTCCACCACTGACTTAATGACTTAGGGTAAAGATTCACATAGGGGAAGCAAAGATACCATTAAAATAGGTGTGGTTGCTAATTATATATCCCTTTTGTGTATCAGCTCGCTGCTGCCAGCCAGAAGCATTTCAGTAGCACAGGCAGTCATAACTGCACTCAAACAGAAGGACCCCTGTTTCAGGAAGGAGTAATACTACTTGGAGCTCCCCAGAAATCAGAACAGCCAGGGAATATGCTGCAGCCTCAGGCAAGCAGAAAACCTCTTAAGATGTATTCAAGACTGCTCAGTCCCCTGCTACCAGTCCCACCGGCAGTGGGAGATGTGCTCTCCAGCCTCTGCCACCCCACAGTCCCCAGGTCTGAAGGATTCCAGCACAAATTGGTGTCACCTGCTCCATCAACTGCACTGCTGTAAATAGAGCATTGCAGCACAGGGATTAACTTGGGCTGAATATATAGCACAGCAGTAATTACTAAATTGAGAGGGGAGTAAGAATATCTAACCTGTTGAACTTACTCCTCAAAGTTGGGAGGAGATTTGGCACACAAGCTTTTTATTCCTTCTCATCTACAGCCTATTTACAGGTTTCTGATTTACATGGGGAAAGGAAGGTGAAGCTTCCATAGGTGAAAACTCCAAACTCCCCCCATAGCTCTTGAGGAGTATCTGACAACCCAAGATCACAGCACTCTTAACAGAAACGGGACGCCTCCCCCCTCCACACTCAGGCAGACTCACCTTAAAATCTGTGTTATTGATGTACTCAAACACCAGAGCAGGGGTCTTTGACTGCAAGAGAGAGAGAGTCATGGTTTAAAACACCCTCTTGACCTTTTTTTTTCTCCAAGAGACCTGAGAAAGCTTATGCTTCCTGCTCAACCCTCACTGCAGAGAGCAGGCAGGAGCAGGACAGCTAAAGAAATGCAGCCCTGCTCCCACAGCAGGCAGAGGCAAGCTCCGCTTATACCCCATGCAGCAAGCACCAACATGGCATTTTGGTCAGTGCTGCTCCTCCCCATGCCACGGAGCAGAGACAGCACTGGGCAAAGCAAAAGGTGTCACCAGGGGCTAAGGCCTCGCATCCCATCGCAGGAGGAAGGTCAGCCAGGACTGCCAATGCTACAGCAGTGTCATTTCCTCTCCGTGGCTGCCAGCAGGCTGGGAGTCACAGACCTCAGCCAGCTGCTAGTCAGAGAAAACTTCCCGGGAATGGGGTAATTGTGGCATTGCAGACAAAGGATATGACCTCTGGTCACTGGGCAGGACAGCAACCAGAGGGATGAAAAGTGCTTAATATCCAATTTGCCCTGGCAGATACTTCTGTTCCAGATGCCAGACAGAAGCTGGAAGGCTACAGGCTCTGCTTTCTTACAGAAAATTTGTAGGGCTACAAAACTTCTCCCCCATCAGCCATGTTAAACTCACAGAAGACACAGAAGGGGTGTAAAAGAGTCTGGGGAACCTGGAGGGGAACATGAGCTCATCCAAACCAACCCACCTCAGGAGACCCTAATGAGCTGGACACTGCTCGCCCCTGGCTGGCACGAAGGCACGGGCACAGGCAGCACCTAACCCAAGCCGAGAGCAGAAGTCATGCGGCAGTGCCTGCCCCGTGCCTGCAGCCGGTGGGGAGGCAAGCCCACCACACACACCGCGACACACAGGCACCTACCACCGGATCCTTGACAGTGTCAATCAGATTAATGATGTTGGTGCCACCACGTAGATTCTCCAGAATCTTAACCTCGCGTTTTATCTTCTTTTTCTTCACTGGCTTAAATAGACAAAAGAAATTAGAAGTGAGAGTCCTTTCAGAAATTAACACTGATTTCTGCCACTAATTTTGACTGGATCACATCACCTCCTCTCCTCTCTCTGCTCCCACCCTCACAAGGGAACATTTTTAGCTTCAAAGAGGAGACAGACACCTTGCGTGAACTAGGATTTCCCCTCTCATCAGTGAAAGTTTTCCACTCATCAGGGGAAAATCAAACCACTCCAGACAAAGATAAGTGTGACCCTGGTAACGGTGGTTAAAAGCACCTTGGACTGCTATGAGGAAATCTCAGCGCACTCATTCTATGTTATGCATTTAGAGCCACAGGACAAGCATGGTGGACCTCATATCTCAGCTTTTGTTTACGATCACAAACCAGTTTTTTACTCCTTAATCCCAACCCATTTCCCAACGAGTACTTTAATCCAATGAAACAATGACCTGAGAGTCTCCAACACCAAGATTTCTAGTAAGCTCAGACACTGCTGCGCCTAACTATGTGCACGTGTCTTTCGCAACCACCCCAAGAACATAGAACCAACTGCACAGCATGCCATCGCATCCATATACCATGATTATTTTTAAAGCCTACAGACATTTTAAACAGTTTTTGACTCCTCCTTGAATCTGTGCAGTCCCAGGAACTCCCTTTGCAAAGTAAGCTTTTCTCTGGACATCACCCTGCAGAGAGTGACAAAGAACAGCTGCTCCCAAGGCAGGGGCTTGGAGGTTGGGTTAGCTTTTACACTCTGCTGATCCAGTGGTTCACTTCAATGCAAATGAACGATCGTTTCTGTAACTCATCCACTCCCAGGACAACTCTAGTTCTGCGCCTGCTTGAAAGGAAAGGCAGCTTAGAGCAGCTAAGAGGTGAGACTTTTTTAATGAGCCTTGGCTAATGACCAGCGTGGGCGTCACCGGTTGCGAGGCACTGAGTATAGCAGCCCTTCATTGAAGAACTGGAACATCCCTTCCTGCACCACCGGTACCATTGCAGAGAGATGCAGAGACATCTTGCAGAGACTGGTAAAGCCCTTGCCCTATCTGTGAGGTTTGCTGATGAAAACACTCCTCTCCAGACATTTAGCTTTCTAAAACATTCACCATCCGGCACAGAGTCCAGTGTGTGAGGAGGGGTGTAACAGGGAATGGCAGAGGTACAAGGCACCTTACCAAAGCGACACGTTATCAGATGTCTACGTGAAGGACAAGGAGCCACAAGAGCTCAACAGCTCGCGCTCACCTCTGCTGCAGCCTCCCACTTCGATGACGGCTGCAGAATGCCGATGGGGCAACTCACACTCCCATTACAGGCAAATCCAAGGCAATCCCTGGTTTCAGACCCCTCACAGGAATGTATGAGCAGACAGGAGAAGGAACAGAAGCTTTTTATATAGTGAGAAAATATGGCGTTTATATAAGTGAGAAAATATGCTGTCTTTCTAGGCTCTTCAGGTCGCTGAAACCTTCAGATTCAAATCCTGCCCTTCTCCTCTTCCAAGTTAAAAGGCAGGAGCTAGACTTTCAAGCCAAAAGATGAGAATCTCAGCCCGAAGCAAAGTGCCAAAAATAACACCAATGCCTGCACAGGGAGCGTCAGCACCTCATAAAGCCACTGTGGAAAACGGCAGCAAGGCCTCCGCAGCTGTCAGCCAGAGCTGGAGCGACATGGGGTAGGGTTCGCTGGGGAGGGGCAACCAACAGCCCCAGGGCAGCACCCAGACACAGCTGGAGCCGGTGGGAGGTCAGACGGACAGGGAGAAGCAGCCAGAGCAGGGGGACCAGCAGAAGTGAGGGCTACGTTTCTGAACCTGAGAGGAAAATGTTTCATTAAGGACTAATTTCATTTATGTCAGCATGGGGACAGACACCACCCTTGCATCGCCCACATGCACTGATCTTACCAGAAGGCCACGATGGAATTAGAGGATGTAATTTGGTTACTCTGCTCGTCCAGTGAGGCAGATGCACACACAAGCTGTTTTCTAAGGAACTTCAAAGAGGGAGCTGAGCCACTGCCATCCTGAATGCGCTTGCTGAATGGCCTGGCTACCGACAGACATGTATCACAGCCTCTCTGCTGCGACACGTGCACCTGACCGGGAGCTGAAACAGTGCCTGAACACAGCCAAGAGGACCCAAAGCCCACTTTGAAATACCTTTTCCTTTGTACTGTAGTTATTTCGGGGGCCTTTTCCTTCAGCTAGGTAGGGGAGGATATCCCTCCGAGATTTCCATTTCTCCTTCCATAGCAACCACCACTCCCGCTGGGGCAGATGATGTTGTCTTCCAGTCACTTCACATGTTTCCACCTTTTTCAGGATGGGAAAACGATGCCCTGCGTGATCTCCACCAGAAATCTACCCCTACCCACAACACACTTACTAGAAGACACGAGCAGACAGAATCAGCAACTTTTGGAAAGAAGGAGAGAAGAAAGTTGGTCTTTTTTTAATGAAATGCCTGCAGATAATTGCCAACAGCAGCATCACCGAGGGAAGACACTCCAGCGAACACTGTCTCAGCAAGAGGTAGTGTTAAAAGCCGCTTGCTGTTTGCACATTTTCCTGCTAAGCTGCAGTAGCGCAGGCTGTCTGCACACGGCTACACTACTTCCATGTCGGCTGTGAGCCGGGGCAAGGGCCCCGCAAGCCTCTGGGCAGGGTGGGGGTACGGGAAGCCCTGCTCATTGCAGGGTTGTAAGCAGTGCATCGTCAGAGCGCTCTCCCCGCCTGCAGCCAGCGGTCAGGACAGGGTTTTCCACCACTAGGCAAATAGGGGTGAGGCGGGGAGAAATGCCACGGGCTGAAGTAATGTTGTCTTAGAGGAAAGCTATTGCCTGGAAGTTTCCTCAGAGAGCAATGCAGGGGAACGGAGGATTTCCCCATTTCAGATTTGCAGGAGAAAACAGTGGCGACTGCTGGCCTCCACCCCACACAGCTTTCACCTTACCAGCCTACCCAGCCACACGCCACCTCCCACCCACAAGTTGACCCACGC